AGAATAAGCTACCCTAAGATCACACTGCTACTCACATTCCTGCATGTTAAGTCTGAATGCTAAGTCTGAGTGGTGGGTCTTAAGTCTAAACGGTGGCACCTCAGTTCTATGTCTGAACAGTCCTTAAAAGAGTAGGGTGTTAATCAAAGACTGTCCACATGGCAGTCAAGGTGATTAAAGGAATCCAGAGCAGATGAATGTTGCATAATTTGTGTGTTCTTCAAAAAGAAAGCCATAATTACTCAGCTAAGTTTACTCAAACACATTATATCCCTTTTGTTTAAAAAATTATTATTAAAACGTGGCAAATTTAGGGATTCATCTTCAGCAAGGCACTTGACAAGTACTCTCAGAACACTGTTATGCAAAACATAAAGCAGACGATGACATGATTAGGTGGATTTACACCTGGCTCCAAACAAAGGTAGATTTATGTTCCTAGGGTAAGAAGGCAACGATGATCTGCAGTATTTTGACTACAAGCCTGTCTTTTTCAGAATGTCATTTTTTAATGATATATTTTGTGACAACTGGGGAGAGGACAGAACAGTGCTACTGGCATCTATTGGGTAAAGCCTAGAGTTTCTGATAAGCAGCCTGCAATGCAAGTGACCAGTCCCCCACTGACCAAGAACTATCCAATCAACCCAAATTTCAGACCATTGTTGAGGAAGCCCCATATAAGTATATAAGTGAACACATTAGAATGAATTATCAGATATAGAATAATTTAATAAATATCATTATAGCATCCTACATTAAGCTCCTTTAAATATAAACTATACAAATTATAGGCAAGAGCTTTTCTTCCAGTCACTTCTTTCCTCTACAGTAGGTTTCTATTAAGTGTACTGTATATCCATCCCCTCCATTTACATGCTCTGGGCTTCTGTGTCTTTCTTTGCATGAAAATGAAGTGGAACATAAGTGTTTATGGAAGGCTGTAGATGTCCTCCCAAAGCACGTCCATTCTAAGCCATGGAAATTTCTTTGGATAAAAGGTCCTTGCAAAGGGAATTGGTGTGGAAGTCTTCCCAGATTATCTGAGTGGGCTCTATATGTTCCCACAGTACCCTAATAAGAGGGGCAGAGAACAATTCCACATCAAGAGAATAAAAGGCTACATGACAGTGAAAGCACAGATCGGAGTAAAGCTATACAAGTCGAGCAAAGCTAACAGCCACCAGAGCTGGAAGAGTCAAGGCCAGACTCTTCCCTAGAGCTGCTAGAGGAACCCAAACCATGCCACTGCTTTTACTTCAACCTAGTAATACTAATTTCATGGTCTAGCCCTCAGAACCATGAGAAAAATCAATTTTTATTATGTGAAATCCACAAGTCTGCAGTCATTTGTTGTTCCAGCCATAGGAGACTAATAGAGATTTCTGGTGCCAGAAATGAGATGCTGCTATAACAAACACCTAAAAACAAGAACCTGACTTTTTTAATTGAATAGGAAGAATCTTTGAGTCATGAAGTAGGCTGAAGAAAATAGTCCTCAAAAAACCTACTCCCTTTCTAAACATCAAGACATGAAACTATCACATTATACAGCAACCCATGTGATTAGGTGGCATCATCCTGTATTCTTGGAGTAAACCCTAAATGTAGTCACATGTATCCTGTTATATCAAGATAGAGTTTACTTGTTTTGTTTTGGGTACTGGGGATTGAACTCAGCTCCTTGGTTTGCAAGGCAGGTGGCAGAACCACTAAGCTAAATCCCCAGCCCTCAAGATAGAGTTTAGAGTTAGATAAACACACAACAAAAACATAGAACCAAGAGAGAGATAGTGAAAGCTGCATAAGGCCTACAACCACCAGAAGCCGAAAGAGGCAAGGAAGGGATTTTTCCCAAGGAGCACCGGGAGGGAGTCTAGCCCTACCTACTTCTTGATTTGCTACTTCTGGCAAGTAAAACTGTGAGAGGATAAATTTCTGTTGTTTTAAGCCACGAAAAGTGGTACTCATTTTTACTACAGCTGCAGGCGGACCAGTTCTACTACTGTACAAGAGTGGGCTCATCTGTAACAAACACATAGAAATGTATGAGTGGTTCTGGAATCAGATGATGGGCAGAAGCTGGAAAAATTTAGTTATATGATTTTTAAAAGCTTTGATTGCCTTGGACAGACTATTGGTAGAAGAAAAGCAGACTACAGTGGAGAAAGCTTCTATCATCTTAGACAATATATATTACCATGAATAGAATATTTGTGGAAATGTGATTGTTAAATGTGATTCCAATAAGGACTTAGAATGAATAAGGAACATATTACTGGAAATTAGAAAAAGTCTGACTCATGTTAGAAATATGTATCAAATTAGCTACATGGGTTGTTACAGCTCTGTGAAAAGCAAATCCTGTGACTAACTTGGACATTTAACATAGGAAATTTCTAAACAAAGTTAAGGACGCACATTGATTCTTTTTTCTTGATTCGTATACTAAAATTTAAGAGGAATGAGATAAACTGATAAACAGTTGAGCAAAATGGAACCAGAATTTGATAATTTAAGAAATTCTGTGTGTGTGTGAGGTGTGTGCATGTGTGTGTGTGTTCCCTGTTAGAAAGCATACCTTGGAGACATGGACCGAAGGTGTGAAGGAATAACCCATGGCCAGTATTGAAGAGACCTGGCATGTGATTCGTAGTTTTGTTTACGCACCTCAACAGAAATCAAGAACAGAAATAGGATTATGCAGAAAAGACTTCAGATGACCCTGTTGTCTCATGATGAGAATCTACGACACTCATGGGAGACCAAAGAGGTTTTGAAACTGTTACAGCAGCAGGACCATCGTCAGCATGGACTAAAGGAGACTGAGGTGAAATAAAGTGTAAGAAGGCAGACAGACCCAAAATTCTACAGGCAGAAAACAGGCTGCTAAACAACTCCACTGCAAATGTGATCTCATCCAATAAAAGGAAGGATTACTCCAAGGACAGAACTAGAACTGAGGGTTCAGAAGCAGAGCCCAAAGATGTAGGCTAGGAGTTAGAGGCACAGAGGCCAAGGATGGATCCACAGTCCAAGAGCACAGAGTTTCAACCCACAGAGGATTATGCCCTTGCCTTATTTTGAATTATCTTGGGATATGTGATCTGTTTATTCCTTCTACTTTCACCCACTGGCAATGGAAACATCTGTAGTTGTTATCCTATGCCTACCTCAATTTTATATTTTTGAAATGGGATAATCTGTTTCTGGCTTCATGGGTCCACAGATAGAAGGGCAATTTCCACTGTGGGCCTGAAGGGAATAATCTATCCTGGGTTATCCAGGTGGCCTGTAAGTGCAATCATGTGCATCCTTTTAACAGAGAGGTAAACGAAGTTTGGGGGCAAACTCACATGCAGAGAGGTGAGGGTACCTGAAGCCAAAGCACAGAGAGAAGAAGCCACAGAGTAGGGTTTCAGTAGTCAGCAAAAGCTGAGCGGGGAGACAAGAAACACATTTTCCCCTAGAATTTCCAGAGGAAATCCATCTCTGAAATTTCTAGCCAGACTTAGGATAGAATAAATTTCTATTCTTTTAAGACTCCAAGTTTATGCTACTTTGTTTCAGCAGCTACGAAAAATTTAAATCATATTCTACAATTCGAAAAATAAGGAGCTGTGATGTAATGACAGCAGCACTTAAATGGAGCTGGGCTCTCAAATGACTGTACCTTCAGAGTCACGTGAGTATGACAAATGTAATGCTGCCCTAAACTTCCTTCACAGTAAATTGGAGCATAGAATGAGAGAGCTACTGTCCAGTTTTCTCCTAGAGTACTCAGATAACTGTATTATACCCAGCCCCCTGATGCTACCAGCTGTCAGCAGCAGCATCATATAGAGAATTTTAAAGAAAAAAATTAAAAGGGAGAAGAATCATGCATAGAATAAAGAGATGAAGAAACTAAGAAGGGATGTGCAGTGCTTATCCTGAAAAGGCTTTGTGGTGAGTCAATGTGACTGCTGCTCTAGCTATGCCAGTCTGTCTTCTGCAAGGCAGAATAGATGGTCTTAGTCTCTTTGGCTCTAAAGATCAGGACCTTGGTTTAAAGAAAAGCTCCAGAGAGGCAGATGTGCCCTCCAGTAATTAAAGTCCTCCTGCTTGGGTTGAAGTGCGTCTCTGGGGCTATTATCTCTCCCTAAGAGTTTCACAGACTGAGGTGATCACTTGGGGGGATATTTTCTGGGAGATCCTTACAACAAAAATAGCAGGCTGGAGAAGATGTCCTAGCATCCATTCATGTAGGATTCTGTAATTCTGCTGCCATTAGTAGGAGAGGAGTAGGTAAGTTTATATCCCATAACATTTGAAGATTTGTTCATTCATGGCTTAGCTTCCTCTTTTTCCAGACCAAAACCATATATGTATACAAAAAGGTCTCTTGTCCTTCTCTAGACACTGCACCTTCTCCATAACTTCCCCAGTTGCAGAGTCCAGCACCAAAATCAATCTAGATCCTGAGCTTGACCAACGAGAAGCAGAACTAGATAATGACAGCCTATTTTCTATTCTCCTCTGAAGTCCCACCAACACAAATTCACACCTGCTTTTCTAAAACAGTGAGCTTTTCAGTCTTTCCACCTTTCCTGAATATTTTTGAAGTTCAATTCATAAAGCTTGCTGATCCTCTCCCTATGAATATGATAAAGTTGGCAGGAATTGAGCTTAATTCTATTTATTTCAAAACCCTAATTAAATGCAAATCCTGTCCTTCAGAGGGTAGTATCCTCAGCCAACCTTGAGTGTGCTTTCTCCCTCCTATCTCAAGTTTCTCTAACCAAGTAGATAAACAAGACAGGAGCCAAGGGAGAATTCTCAACCCCCCTCTTTGGTTATGTTTATCAAAGAGAAAAAGCAACTTAGAAATTAAGAAAAACAAACTAGCTATTGAAAAACCTCAGTATGAAACCAGTGCTTTTTCTCATATTTGATCTGCTTCTGAAGCAACAGACTATTTACTGTCTCTCCTCCCAAGATGGAAAAGTTTCATCAATTACCATTTCCTGGGCCTGACGCAGTATCTGTACAGCTCCAACCCATGATGTAATCGCCTAGAAGAAATCAAATCTCTGTCAGTGGCTTCTAGGTATTCCACAATTCTAATATGCATTCTACTTTTTAGAAAGAGAGTCTTATAGTCTTAGTACCACGACTATGAAGTTACCATTTCCAACATCCTACCAAAAAATTTTCCGCTGTAGCTATTGAAACTTGCTTCCATTGAACCTAGAAATCTTGTTTCTGAGCTATTTGTATATAAGACTTCAACTGGCCTGGAAAAATTTCACAAAAGCTAGGTTAAATCAATATGCCAATAGGTCATTTTAGTCCACTGATCGGAACATACAGGTAAATTCTAAAGCCAGGATCTTCAAGTTAAATTTCAGCTTACATCTGAAAAATTGTAAAGGGAATGTTATACACTAAGGTTGTTTCTGGCTTTGTTTTATTTTGCTTTTATTTTAATAAAGTGCAATTTACTCATTAACCGACACAAACACACTGAAATCCCAAAAGGTACATGGTCATCATTAATAAAAATGACTGGGATTCATTTAATTCATACAAAAACACAATGTAAATGCTGAATAACTGTAAGTCATTATTTCAAATCTAATTTGAGAGGCAAAGCATCTTTATTTGGCAACATTTGCTCCTCTGCCCCTAATCTCTGAGCAACCATGAGATTGTGTACAAACAATAACTGACACCTTATTTAACAAAAGCTTTCCTATTTTCAAGCCACAACATGTTACACTAGCACCAACAGTACATATTCAGGCCACTGTATGAAAGAGCCACAGAAGTTCAGACATAAGCAGTAAATGGCAAAACTGCAGGAACTGAAAAGCCATCCCGTCTTTTATGGGCATGATAAATAATGCAGGCTAATGTGAGTTTACTAAGCTGATTAGTGTCAATATGAAGTGTGTACAGAAGAGGTTCACATCTCTTATCCCCCAAAGTTAAATGACGACATATTTCCTTCACAGAGCAATCTTATATACCAGGAAGTATTCAAGGGTTCTCAAAATGTGTCCCAAGAGTCCTAAGGAGGTGGACTCTAAGCTACAATCCCATATGGGCCCAACCACGGGTAGTTTCAAAAGCTCTGCCCTGCTCAATGGGCCTTATGATAACTGTGATGTCCATGGCAGGCTTGGAGCACAACCAGAGCACAGGGCTGAGCCAAGGAGCCTGATCCCCGCACCCACGGCTCTGCCCCTGCACTCAGAGGAGTTCCCAGCTTCAGTGTCTGTGTGCAAGGTGCAGGGAAGGGAGGCAGGTGCGGAGGAAGGGCCTCAGCTCAGACACTGTGGCGACCCCTCTCCTTCCCCAGCCCCAGCCCCATAAGATGGCAGGAGGCTCCCTCAGCCACAAGACAAGCCCCTTTCCCCAGTGCTAGACCGTCTGCCCCTTTCTCAGTGTCATTGGCTGAAAAGGGGTCACAGAGACAGCTGGCAACACCTTTGCATTTTGTTCATTGCTTACTCCGATGAGGTAAGTGAACAAAGGCTCAACTATTACTGCCAGTCTGACTCTGTGTCCCGGTTGAATCCCAGGCATGGGACAGTTTTCTGGCAGGTCTGAAAAGCCCACAGAGGGGGTTTCAGGTGTCGTGAGGCAGATCAGAGAGGCTGAGCAAGGACAGCCCACTCCACCCTGCCACACACACCTATGGGTGTCACCCAGAGTTGGCCTTGTTTCTACTTGTTTTATATGTAACATTTCAACCAAAGAAAGGGTTCCCTCCATGCCTGGAACATGGTTAGAGGTCATTAAAAATTAGTCCTTTTGACTATTGCAATTTTTAAAAAATTATACAAGTAATTCTAATTTCTATATTCTGAACTGCTATATTGGAAAGTAAGGACGCAGCCTAGGAAGGTGGGTCATCATTCCTGATGGATGCTTCCCTGCAGAGAAGAACAAGGGCTGAGACATCACAAGATAGGGGAGTTGAGACTAAACAATGCGCTTACAAACATATAGTGAATGTTTAAGTTTTTAAAATTATTATAGTAGAAAACAGTTGCCATTAAAACCACCTCTAAATTATCTCCCTCCCTTCAAATTCACTTTTCCCACTGGTTTTGACACTTTCTCAAGCAGCTCTGGAAGTCCTCTTTCTAGAGTGCCCAGTTGTGCTGTAGTGGCTGCCTCAATGTCCTGAATTAATTCAAAATATTTACCTTTCATGGTCATTTTGACTTTGGGAAAAAGCCAGATCCAGTGAATAAGGTGGGTGAGAACACACCGTATTTTTATGAGCCTGTCTTTCTTTTGGATAGAACTCAACAGCAGCATTCACTCAATTTTTATCACACCTCCAAAACACACTAACAAAAGAGGACTTCCAGAACTTCTTCAGAAAGTTGCAAGAATGATGGAATAGGTAAACTCAAAATAAGGAGGAGTATGGGGGGGGCATTAATGGCAGTATGTCATTCTTTTACTGTAATAATTTTATTTTAGTTAAGCCCTTATTTAAGGAAGTTGTAAATGAAATGAAAGGAGCTAGAGTCTGTGTTTTACCAGAGACTTCTACTCAAAGAAAGGGAACATGTGCTGTATGGACTCACTGATTGCTAGACATGAGAGTTGTAGCTATCATGGTAGGCATCAGACTCGAGGAATACACAAGGGAAAGTGTAAGGCGGTGTAACCTGGGTTATAATACACATCAGGCTGGGGACTTTCATGTGTTGTCCATGTTAACCATTTAATGAACTCCTAGAGTACAGTCTTTTACAGATTAAGAAACAGAAACTTGGAGGGGTTAAATAACACCTCCAAGGTCAGACACAGAAAGTGAATTCCAACTACATTTCAACCAGTTCAACTGCAAAAGTCGTGCTTTGAAGTCCTACTCACTAAAGGCTCCTCTACTAACATTTCAATTTGCATAGTATAAAAAAAGCTTGTTCTATTATTTATCCCTTGTACTAGATAACTTAATAATAAACTAATACTTTTAAACTACCAACAAAATAGTCAAAGAAGATTAGCATCATTTGCCCAAACACATTAATAGAGAATAAAACAAAACAAAACAAAAAACACAAAAACTAAAGACTCCCAAAATTTTAAATTACTCCCTAGCCCAATCCATATTTGTTCTATTTTAACCTTACCACCTAATCATCTAATGTCCTAGAGTGAAAAATTAAGAACAGAAATGTTGCCCATATACTGCAGAGACAGCAGACTGGAATTTCTCCCTAATTCCTATGATGGCTTTCACAATCTTCCCTGTCCTATAATCAAAAAAATGAATCTCTACTTGTGATGATAAAGTAGAGAGATGGTAAACTGGCCCATGTGGGATTTGAACACTTTGTCCAAAGATTTTCATTTACCCACATTTTGATTAATGCACAGGATTAAAATTCACAAAGTTAGATATTATATTTGGGCTCACCCCTTCTGCTCCTACCAGCACCCACACTATTTTTCCAACTTCCTGCCTTAACTGTTGGCTACAAGACATTTATGCTCAAGAACAGAGGGTAAACTTGAGACAGTATAGTACCTTGGAGTTGGCTCACTGCCCAGCATTTTTTCTCTCAATTTAATTTGTGTCCATGAAGAAGCCAACAAACGTATTTCTTTGTCCTCATGAATGCTCCATTTCTCTTTTATCAGTACTACTTCACAGTAAACCACTTTCCAAAAAGTAAGAAGATGCCTCATGACTTCTCTGTCTTTCAAGGTCAGTTAGAACAGCTTAAACTAGTGGATAATCCATCCACATGAATCATCCCTGTATACATGACAAGTCTGCCATCTACTCAGACAGGTGTCACACAGGCTCCACACTGAACCAAAATATAAACGCTTAGTGCCTCTCAGGGACGAAGCTGACTCATTCGGTGAAGGATGCAGATGACTCACTTATGAAATCCAAAGACATCGCTAATGCAAATGTCTCTGTCTAGGGATGTTTCTCCTATCTTCCAACTCCGTTAATCAACCGGAGGTTATTCTGCCCATTCTCCCTGTGGCTCTTTCTTTTTTCTGCCTGAAAACAATAAAAATATCTGAGTCTCTCTGCCCAGGTTGACCTGTGTCATTCTTTGTGAAACTCCAAGATCATAAAGGGCCTGACTATAAAACAGGGCAGGGAAACCGTGAAAGAAACTGTTACCCTTCAAGCTCTGTACAAAACCCATGGCTCCATAAAGGGTTGAATCTAAAATATTAAATGTCCAATGTGCCTGCTTACAGATTAAAACAATCAAAATATGCATGGATTATAAAGGTTCTACACAGGACACTGGCCAGGATTTGTCTTCACATACCACTGGTCTACCGCTGCATATTCCCTGGCTTCCAGCTTTGCCTTGCTAGAATAGATGCCCGGCCCCATGGACAGTCTACCATAATTCCTTCCCGAGAAAGTGAGGGCAGAGATGGGTGTCCCCATCCTTCACCGCTAAGGAAATCATAAGAGTGAGACCATTCAGTTACAAGACTATAGTGTTGGGAGAATGATTATGCTTTGAATTTAGAGGTCACCTAGCTGCAAGGATTTGCAAATAAAAGATCCTTTGTCTTGCATTGTCTTATTTGTCCTGATAGTCCCTCCTGCTGTGCTCCACCCCATCTCTCTGGGAAATCGCGCTAAAGGGCCTCTGTTTTCTCCCTCCCTGAGATGTTGGCAGAGCCAGCTTCATAGGCATAGGATCTGTACAGTTTCACACAGCTCCATGCTGAGAAAGACCCTGTGCTTACCTTAACTCCCGAATGTTGCTCTCTTGGAATTCTTCATAACTTTTGACCAAGGAGCCACACATATTCATTTTGTCCTGGACCTCACAAATTGTGTAGCCACCCATCGTGGAAGGGTTGAGCTAGACCTAGGCTGTGAATGAGGAATCACTGTTTTGAGCAGGCTGTTCCCTGAAATCTCCATGGGAGTTGTGCTCTCCAGAGCTGTGGTAGTGGTAAGTACTGTTGGCCAAATATTTTGGATTCTCCTTTCAGACAAGGATTGGATTGAACTAAAACCTGCTTTTGTCTTTCAAGTGAGCAGGAAGTGACACTGGCA